GACTCCAACACGCAGGACCGCCATTCACACGCTCACTGACACCCTGACTGACTGACTGACTGCAACTTGAAAAAGTTATACAAGGGTCCTATTTCGGCCGAGTGTTAAACTATAAAGTTCATGGATTTATAAATCCTCATGTGCTCCAGATTCTGTTTTACATAGTCGTTGTGAAGCTGGGCGCATGTTTGCACTCTCACACTGAGACATGAGTTGACTGAGAGGCACACTTAAATCTGTTTGCGTTTCGATATGTGCGCCTGTCGTTACATGCAACCATTAAGCACAGCTGTGGCTATTAATAGTGCCCATATGGATGGATTTTAATTATCATTGTTAAACCTAAGACAAATTATTGATGATTAATTTATAGTGCTCTTATTAAAGCAGACTTAACAACTTACTGTACTTTTCAGGATAAAATCACAAGATCAAGAACATGGAAATAATGGCTCAAATGTAAGCTAATGTAAAAGACTGATAAGAAAATTCATCAGGCATAGGACAGATGATTATAGACTGCATAATAATAACGTGATCACTAATATAAGGAAAGTTAAACAAACAAGGTTTAACTCATTGTTAACCCATTGTTCCCACCCCGTCTATCTGAATTATGTTGCATGGACACAGTGGTAAAGCAGTTAACAGGAACTGTTTAGACTGTTTAGTTGTGCTTTCTTATATTCAATGTCTGATAGTGAATGTATCAATGTATCAACCAGAGCTGCAGCAAGTACCCTCTGCCTGTCCATTTTAGTAACTAGCTTCTACTTACCGTGGAAAAACAAAACAAACAAAAAACACGGTAGAATGATTACAGGGAAAGGTTAGCGTGAGGACGTGATGGGGTGGTTGCCTGGCAACAATATATGAGACACACATATATCACACACTCAGAATAGATGACTAAACACTATGTTCAATGTACTCTGATTTAATTCTACCATCTAGTGGACACTTATGTGAATACAATGTACCGAATACTGTTACATCAGCTTCCCCTCCGAAACTGGTGAAATGGCTGCACCCAATAGTAAACGTCTTGTTTTAATGTGTATTTGACGCGTTAATACGGACGACAAAACAGACGTTTAGATCCCTTCCGGATTCCATAAGACAACAACACCAGAGAAGCTAACGACACCAGAGAAGCTAATGCGGCGTATAAACATCGACAGACTGAATATTTATTGAACAAAGCTGCAGTTATATTATTAATAATGCACTTGTAATGTTTAATGAACAAACCTGCTCTGCGTAACCGAAGCTGAGGGTTGGAAACAGCGTCCATTAGTTTCCGTTGTCGCTCGTTCTCCTCTTTTGATCGACAAAGTTCCTCCTCGTACTCTGCTATTGTTCTTTCAAACAGCCCAAATATCTCTTCAGCAGCCGCAGTTAGTCGCTGCTTCACCTAACTTACGCTCTCAACATTTGGACTTTAGACATGTTCACACTTTAAAAACACAATAAAGACACTCTGATAACACACTTATCTACCAGACGCCATCTTGTTCAAACGGTGTGACGTTCGCAACAGTAAAGAGTACAGCTTCCGGGGTAAATGAGTTAATGAGCTTCAAAATAAAAGTCCAGAAGTGTTGCTAGGAATTCCGGGCTTACTCAAAAACACACAGTCAGGAGGATAAATGATTAAAATGCACTTATTCAAATGACTTTTATTGAAGTGTTCCAGTTGATTTTTAGTTTAGTTCATTTGACTTCACATATGCAAAAAAAAAAAAAAAAAAA